CCGGTCCGCGGACCGGGGGTTGGGGACCACTGCTCTAGACCACATCAAACTCGACTGCATTAACGTGAAACATTGTGATGTATCATGACGATTTTTGCCTGCAGAACCAGGGTGGGTGTGGCCTCAGCACGATGTATCCAGCACACAGGCCACCAGTTTGACAGGCCTGTTCTAGATTGATTCCTCATTTGACTCCATTCTCAGGTTCTGCTACATCTTCTACAGTACAATAGTTTATATGCCTAATCAGTGTCCTGCTAATAGACCTGTGATGGCGAACTTATGGTACACGTGCCAGAGGTGGCACACAGAGCCCTTTCTGTTGGCACATGCGCCGTCACCAACTGGTCTTTGTGGGCACTGGAGTGCCGGAAAAGAGCCCGATTAATGGCCAAAATCCAGGGCATTTTCAGGTTGTTTCTTGGGCCATTTTTAGATCATTTTGGGGACATTTTCCAGGGCACTTTCAGGCTGTTTCTTGAGCCATTTTTAGATCATTTTGGGAATATTTTCCAGGTTGTTTTCAGGCTGTTTCTTGAGCCATTTTCAGGTCATTTTGTGGGCATTTTTCGGGGCATTTTCCAGGCAATTTTTCAAGCTGGTTTTGGCCTGAAAAACAGCCTGGAAAATGGTCCCCAAAGCCCCAGAAACAGCAAAAAATGGCAAAAAAAAGAGAGGCATGCCCGCACCGGCCAGCTGTTCTTCGGGTCTCTGGCACTCTGGCATGGGCACATGCACACACAAGCATGTGTGTTCCAGTTTGGGCACTCACTGTGATAGACCATTGGTCCACATTTCCAAATCTTTGCTAGTTGCAAACACCCGCATGATAGTTATCTGAGGGTCTCCCCCCATCAACTGCTATGTTCAGTGAAGACCAAAAGCCAAGTTAACACATTTAAGAATGAAATATGGCTGATTTCCTTCAAAAGTATTTTCCAAAATAATTTGGACAGGTTTTTAGATTGCTGAGAATCAGCTTCTCAGAATACTTGTTTTAAGATCAACAGTCTTGACCAAATTGATTCCCAGGTGTTCTTCAGATGAGACATAACCTTTTCTCTCTTGAGGTAAACCATACACAAAACTTACCATTCTGCTGAAAAGTTTCCAAATCAAAGCCTTCCATGTGCCCCAGAGACTGCTCAAGCTTTTGGGCAGAGTACTAACAGGAAAGAAAAAAAAAATTTGAATGTATTTGATCTTTAAATGTTCACAGAATCCATGCTAAAATTTAACTTTTCAACAATGCTACTAAAAATAAGAGAACTTTTAGCCATATACTGTATGTACCAACACTCCAATCAGGCTTCAATAATCAGAAGTGCACTTATTGTATACATCAACTACCATATTTTTCAGAGTATAGATGCACACACATACCCAAAAAAAGAGGGTGGAAATTTGGGTGCGCCTTATCCTCATAATGCAGTTTTTTGGAAGCTTTTTTTCAGCCCTAATGAGGTGCTAACAAGTCATACAGGCAAAGCACAGAAGATCACTTTACTCATTGTTAGCACCTCATTAGGG